GATGGATGGATGGATGGATGGATGGATGGATGGACGGATGGATTGGCAGCTCCTCAGCCCCGGGCTCCTGATGACGGGCAGCGCCGGAGCGGGACCAGGCGGCGGCCGAGCCCTCCAGCCCGCTCCTGCTGTCCCGGCGCTGTCGCCAGCCCGGCCCTGCCTGTCCGCTCCCGACCCCCGGGGCTGTACGAGGTGCAGAAGTGTTGCCACAGCGGGGCCGCCGGCAGTTCCATTGCAGCCGGGGCTTTTTTTCCGAGGTTGTGGAAATCTCGAGTCAGGGCTTGGCGCAGTGCGGAGCTAACAGGCGCCGGCTGGAACTGGGGTGCAGCTGGGATCTCCATCCCTGACCCCACGCCGCTCTGGAATACACCATGTGGCTCTGGGGGCTTCTGTGCTTCCCGCTCAGCCCCGCAGGGTCTTACCTGCTGCTATCACATCCAAGCAGCAACAGCAGGCCCGTGGGACCGAGCCATTAGCAAACATACCCCGCAGTAACTCCATTCTCTTTCCAGTATTTCCTTTCCAGAAACAGCTATTGGGGACGGAAGCATAAGGTGATGTTCTACCACCGAGCTCTGACACAGCCCCTGTAGGTCATGTTAAGCTTGGACAGTTTTCTTTCACGTGTTGGTCCTGAAAAAATGTGTCCCTTAATTAAAATTTGTTTGCTAACATAGTTTTCTTCTTTCTATTCTCATTACATTTTATAAGGCCTGGTTTCTGCAGCACTGACTGTTTCCCATTTATGGGCAAACTGCTTTAAATATTTGGGTCCGCTGCTAGAATTAAAGCTGTTGGATGATGTGCCGATAATAAGTTAATGGCAAAAATTACTTTAAAATTTTTATTTTTTGTGAGTCTTTAAAGACATTTTCAATAGAGAACATTATACCTTGTGACAGAGACATTCCTCCCTGAAAGAGAAAGGAGGAAATATGAAATCTGAGACTGAGATAACTCTAATTTACTTTGGCAGAGAGGAACAGACTGGATCCCCAGCTAATTAGTGCTGATGCCATCACATATTATAATGGTTTTACTGTGAATCTTTCCATTTGCATATGTATAAGATAGATACACGTGTGCTGCACCACAGTCTTTACACTTATGTTATACATATTTGCACTCCACCACAAAGTAATTTTCTAATTCTTATTTCTGTTTAGAAATTACAAAAACAGCAAGAACAGCCAAGCCATATCTCCCGCTCTGGCACCAGCTATCAGACACTCATTTGCAAACATCCGAAAATATCATTCATTATAACTTAGAATCATTACAGCAACATGTGCAATTCTGTTTCTCCTGTTCCTACCACTGGTGACAAGCGCATTTAGCAGATCTCATTTGTTACATGTGATACCGACAGACTGGAAATGGCTTTTATTCGTGGAGCCACATTACTGCAATAAGTAACATGAGAGACTCCCTGAGTATTATAAACATCCTGGCCAAGGGAGCACAGACAGACTAACCAGAGGGCAATGTGCTCGAGATCAGTTTTGAACAGCAAATTTCATTGACAGCTGTCAAGTTTGAATTGTGAGGTACAATTTACTGTAAAAAAATTGCTAATTCTGTATGCTACAAGCATGAAATACCACAAGTGAGGGAGGTACAGCAGGGATCACTGCCCAGCCTTAGTTCCCCCCAAAGAAACTAAAGACCCTTGTGGAACCCGTGAATCGAGTCATGGTGTCAGGAGGGTTTGACTGACATACTGTGTCTCCTCAGTTACTGATACTCTGCTCAGAGAGCAGTGCAAGGGTTGTGTGGGGTCCTTTGACAGACCATAGCATAAACAAGATAATTCAGCTTCTGCAGTGCTAATTTGCTTTTGTTTTAGAGGCAAGAGCCAACAGGGCCAGATTGGCCTGTAAAAAAGGGACAGGAGACAGACCCAGCACAAAGCAATAATAACAACATGTTCTGCAACCAGAAGGAATGTGGGATAATGACTACGAGGAACCATCAAGGAAAGCGTCAGAAGCCTGAGGCTGCATTACGTGTCTCCAGCAGCCATGGGAGAGCAGCCTGGAGCCTCCACTTGAACGGACTACACAGCCTGTAGTCAGAGCCTGCAAGAGCACAGGGCTGCTCCCTCCTACCAGATACGGTGAAGCCCTTTGAAGCCAACAGGAACAGAAGGACCTGGTTGCAAAATCAGCCTCTAGGCACCTCGGGGAAAGGGACTGCTTTGGAAGCATCTCATAGGAGCACGTTCTCCTCTGCATCAGCTCAAAACTCTGCCACAATGAAAAATTTTGTCTTCAAGAAGATGAAATTGCCGACTAAAAGAAGAGATTTGTCCAATGAGTCTTTGCAGGCCACACAAATGTTTGTTTGGTTCTTTTACTTCATTTCACAAGCCAGTAGTTGCAGAGCCACGAGTCTGGCAGGAGGACTTTAGAACTGATGAGTCCTTCTAAAAGACCAATTCAGATGAGCATCCAGTGTCCTGAACTATTCCAGACCAGGATTTCTCCTGTCTGGCAAGCAGCTGCTCAGGACAGACCCTGCTCTCCCCTACAATCGCATTCCAGAAAAGGCTCACTATTTTCCATCAGGAGTATGTGAGCTGTGCAGCTATACAAGAGTCTCCTTCCCAATGTCAGCTGGTGAAATGCTTCCAATGAAGCACTAAACCACAACCACCACCTTCTCCAGAAGGTCCATGCATCTGAGAGACCCAGCACAGGCATGAGAGGATGGCTGCCATGAGGGGTTTAGGCCTTTCCTATGTCAAGAAGGAAAATAAGACAAGCCAAGACAGAGGTCAGCGTGGCAGCACTGAGTACATAACTTTGAACAAGAGAAAAGCTCCACTCTGGCTCTGGGAACCTAGCTTTAGAAATTTCAACCTCCTCTCTTTGTATTGCTTCTTTCATATATTCCCTGTCTCTTTTTCACATGAAATGGCATTAATGCCTCTCCCTGCTGCTACTGCCTATTGTTTATGTGCCACTGCAGCAGCGTGCCTGCAAAACTGACTAAATTAAGTTAAAACCTCAGCCTGCAGGTGCCCTGGATTTAAGTAACTCACCCTAGAAAAACAGTTTGGAGTGAAAAGTAATTCCTTCATCTGGCAGCTTTGAACATTATCACAAATTCCTCACCCCTCTATAAACTTGCCTGGTATGCTGGCAACTCACCACCATTTCCCTCAAATGATTGGATGCAACCATTCCCTCAGTCTGTATCAAACAACTGTGGTTTTGCAGTATTCTTTGCTTGTTTGAACCTTTCAACCATCCCCCGCCAAAAAAAAAAAAAATAGGCAAAAATAGAAGTGGATAACAGCTGTAATTTGGAAATCCTTTCTACATTCACCTCTATAGTCAAGGCATCACAGCAGCACTGTCCTGGGGAGAGCCACATTCCTCAGGGAGCTGAGTATTTCCATAGTGCTGGATGTGCACACTGGCATTTGCTGGCACTGCCACATAAGATGCTCATTTCACTAGCAAGGAAAGGTTAGTACTTCACATTGGAATCATTTCAAATTGTGTCAAAAGCAACGTTTGCACACCATATCTTCCTTTTTGCACCTTGCGATTATGATTCGGCTAAGAATTTCTCATCTGGAAATTACATGAAGTTAAAAGCATTGGGACTGTTTAAAGCATTTTTGGAGCAATATTAATTAGCATAGTTTGGATTTTTTGTTAACTGCTCAACACTAGCCAACAACCAACTAGCTTTTTTCAATTATTTTGCTGCCATTTTGGATATGATACACACAAGTTAATTCTACTGAATTACCTTTATTTATGCTGATTATTGCCTTTAAAAAAATAATTAAGGCTTAAACTAGCATAGCTCGCTATAAAGCCCAGGGGGCAGTGAACATAAATGACTCTGCGCAATTCTTTTGGCTTCCCACTTCTGAGTCTGGCCATGGATTTAGTGAATCAAGTAGCCATTTCAGGATCTAAGGCTATGCAGAGCCCAAAGGCTGGCTCCTTCCCCAGCCGCTCCCCTGTGACAGACAGGCTGCCGAGCAGGTTCCCACAAGGTTAATAACTCCCAGGGAGTTTTATCCCCATAACTGGGGCAGTTCAAAGAGGTGGATGGAGGCCTGCACACTATTCCCTGCTCACTTTCAGTAGCAATTAGAGTGTCCCCAGTGAAACTCAGTTACCTGCAAAACGGGAGGAGGCGACCTGCGTTCCAGACATGATCAGTGCCACTTGTTCACATAAAATAAGTAGGAAACCAGGTTAGGGTCTGTGTCTCAGGACCCACCTTTCCATGCACATGTGATACATCATCCAGATGGCACCAATCTGCATCCTCCTCAGACACAGGACACGATAAAGAGACACTATTTAAGAGGCCCAGAAAGTGAAGCATTTCCTGCCATGCTCATCACTTTACTTTTTTTCATTTAAAACTAACCCTCCCTCCCCCAAACGAGCTGCACTCCTACTCCTCTCAATCAATAGGACGATTTGCATTTATCCTCCTGGAGGCATCGCTCCTAGGACCGGGGCCAGAGCGATCCAATCGATAGGGGGAAGCTGGAGCAAGACTGGAAAAGAAGCAGCAGAGAGATTTCCCCCAGGGAGAAATGCAAAACACTGGAGAGAGGCAACAATTATTGTAATTGAAGGTAATGAGGCCGAGGCGCCAGCTCCAGCTCTGCTTAACATCATTCAATACAAAGTGAGACACACATGAAGGAGACGGCCCG